ACGACCACCCACCGACCACTACTACTTACTACTACTACTAGTACGAAGTAAGGTAGGTAGTATGTACTTCTTCGTCACCACGTAGTAGACACGCTCTTCTCTCTCTCTCTCTCTCTCTCTCTCTCTCTCTCTCTCTCTCTCTCTCATATATACCTGCATACATACATGCATACATATGTGTGTGTATGCACGGGTGTGTGATGAAGATGTTTTCATAAGCGAACAGGCCTATAGCATGGTTTAGGCCAGACGGCTGAGATTAGAAGATTTGCACTCAGCAGCATAGATTGAAAGAGAGAGATCTGCGAGCCATGTTTCCCTCTTCAACTTGACTTCGACTTCCCTCAGCCAATCCTTCAACCATAAGCAAAGCATTGCTGGGAAAAGCCTCACTAGTTGGCAAATTGGGTCATCAAGTCTAGAGAACACATTTGCCATATCTCACAATTTAACTACAGAAACAACAACCATTAGATCTCACAGAGTGGAGAGAATGCAAGATAAAGGGAGAGACTTGAGAACACATTCAGATCTATCATCGCCAAAAAACCACGATAACTAAGTTTATTAGATCTCAACTGCTCAAAGGAATTGAATGAAGGCTTACGGATCCAGAGGCAAAAAATCAGACAACAGCAGCTCAACTCATAAAGATTGTGGAACACCAAGAAGAGAGAAGAAAGAGAGAATTTTACTCTCCAGAAACTAAAAAATCCAAAGAATTGCTCATGAACATAACAAATTGCCAGCACAAGACCGGAGAAAAGCAACCCTAAGATCACATCAGAACCTGATAAGGGAAAAATAATAGAAAAATAACCAGGAACTACAAAGAAACTAAAATGAAAAGAAAAATCAGCTAACCCTATCTTTGCCTTGCATCAATGAATCCAGCATCAACCAAAAGGTTCTCTGTTATTGAGCTTCACATCCTCATCCACGATCATCTTCAACAGCTCCTAAAAACCCACCTTGGGACTCCACCCCAACACCCATCTTGCCTTGTTCACATTCCCCCTCATATTATCCAACTCTAGCAGCCTAAAATACCACAGATCAATACAAACATGAATGCTCGCGCCTCGGCTCAATGCATCCGAATGCCTCCTTAAAAATTCTTGCACACTATGCCTCCTCTGTCACCACGACATAGTCATCCATCACATCCTACGGAATTATAAACGACATCATCCTCACAGTCCACCACAAACACTCAAACCTCCTGTGCCTTCGAATAACCAGGAAACAATTTTCTTTTGCAAACTAACTACTATGTGAACTATCTCTATTGACATTTCTGGTAACAAAATTCTCTTCCATTTGTTCTCTCATGGTTAAACAGAATCTGCACATTGGGTGCAGTGAGAAGAGGCTTCCATTCTCCCTTTTTCCCACTAGCAGTAGCTCGTAAAAGAGGTTTTTAAGCCTCTCTCCATCTAATTTATGGAACATGAACCTTCTAATCTCAGTTGCGTGGCCAATAGGCCGGTGGGCTTATGAAATCTCTCTCTCGCTCATCTATATATATATATATATATAAATATATACATATATATACATATATATATATATGAAGATGCTCGGGTCAGCCCACTAGCTTATGGAATAGTATAAGCCCAATGGCCCAAATTCAATCTAGGCCGATCTAATAGTCAGGACTGTATTTCAATAATATAATTTTAAAAATTTTTATATCAATCCAAATAACATAAAATTTGAAGCACCAACTCTTCTCATCAAGGCACACCTAATAAAAATTTAAAAAAAATAATTAGCATAAATAAATTGAACAAACTACCCCTTGACTTTTCAGCGGTTTTTACTCAATTTATTTTTTGTGAATTATTTTTTTGATATTTTTATTAGATTCCACTATTTTTTAAGAATAGACGCTCCAAATTTCAAGTG